ATGAGAACAAAGCATATTCAGTTTTACCTGAAAAGTAGTCCCAGGTAGAAGAATCACATTCTAGCTAAGGAAAAGATATCACATGAAGTGTTAGGACATGCTTATCTAGAGATGTCGCCTCCAGCTGTGAAACAAGCTTACCATCTTTAGGAAAGTCCCTCATGCTCCCTATTTACTCTGCTGTTTTCAAAACAAGGGAGAAGAGAAAGCTTAGAAAAAAATAAAGGGATTGTTAATTTAGGTTCACAATAATGAGAAGTGAAAATGGTGCATAGAGGGTAGATACTAATTAATTTGAAATTTTCAAAACAAATCTGAAGCAATGAGTCATTTATAGACATTCTGTCCTGTCCATTTTGTGCTTTTTCCTTGTGGTTAAAAATAGGTGAGTCTTTCCAAGTCTCTCTCCTGCCTGGATTTCATCTGCTTCGTCCCACTTTCAAAAATCATCCTTCGGGAAACCTCCTCTGATTAATTTCATTTTAAGCAAAGTCATTCGATTTATTAATATAAACGATTTTCACATCATATTTATTTGAACTGGCTCTTAAGTTTGCCTTCAAAAATAGGAGTTTTTATATATTGTAATATAAACATTATCCAATACTCAACACTCAATACTTGATACTCAATAAATGCTTTTGAAATAAACACAATTTTTATTGTTAATCTTCCTATAGAAACTAGTATAATTTTTTACAGAAAATCTATCAATAAGAGATTGATTGGTTAGAGAAAAAAAAAAAGCAAAGCAAAACAAACAAGTTGAGAGAATCCAGGCTTTTTCCATCTTAGTAATTTTTTTTTAAGTGGTGATTTGATCTCACCATTTCAATTTGTCAGAGCCTGTCTATGATATGTTACAATGGTCTGTATTTCCTATTGCTACATGATGAATGTGAATCCATATAAACCATACCAACGCCATTATGTATAACTGGTGGTAAAACTTTATTATTCAAGTTTAGATGTAACAGACATCTTTGCTGCCTGAAGATTGTTTGCATAAGAAATACACCAAGAACATGTTTGTGAGTAGAAATGAACATGCACTATGAAAACAAAATTAAATAAAACAAAAAAAAATTCCATGTGTTGTAAGAACAGAACTATTATAGCCAACATTCTAATATTCAAATCAGGACTACAAATTGAAATTTTTCTGAGCAACATGAAATCATTCCATATGAAAGACATTTTCTGCTGGTGAATATTGCTGTACGTTAAATTTACATTGGCATTTTGAGATGTTTTCCACCCTGTCCCACCCCCCAATTTATTCATGTTGTCAAAATAGCCCACCCTAAGGAATTTGGCATGTTATTGTGATATTTGCCTTGTTGGTAGCCATTAAGAAACTATGGTTTTATCAGCCTTGCAATAGCTTTGCCTTTTCATAGTCAACACTATAGGCTGTCTGGTTATGATATTTACAGCTCATTTTTTATCAGAAATGACCCCAACCTTTCCTGGCCCTTGGGAACTGAGAGTTTAAATAAGCCCCTTGGCCAAATAATACTACTTGGCACTCCCATGGTGCCCTTCAACCAAGGATCGCAAAGTGCTTTACAAACAAGTACTACATTACCATTATTATTATTATTAATATTATTATTATTAATATATTTTTTTTCCATTTTACAGGTGAGGAACCTGAGGCACAAAAAGAAAAAGTGATTTGCTGCAGGTCATATAATGAAAAACAACCAGGGGTAAAATCAGGATCCAGTTTTGGGACTTATAGGTCTTGAAGAACCATATTCTCCGATGAAGACTAAATATTTCCAAGTAAAGTTAACTCTTGCTTTGCTCTGGAGTAGAACGGAGTGACGCTTACAGCTCTATCTTTCCTTCCAAGAGAACAACACATCAGCATACATTATCCAGTTTCCATGTGTGGATCAATGTTGAATTTCACATTTTCTTCATCCCTGACTTGACACACTTCTGCCCTAGCATCTTCCAGAGGTCCTAATTACTGCAAATAACCGTGGATGCTTTCTAAACAACTATACGGCTATCAGGAACTCAAGTCCGCTGTCTATGAAACAGCAATGGGAAACCAAAAGGAAGTGCTTTGCAAAGAAGCCATGCCATCTGCCCTTGGCCAAGTCTTTCTTTGGGAAAATAACACAGCCCTTCCAAGTCCCGATGCATGTTTTTCTATCCTCTTCTCATTTATAGTTGCCTGTGATTGAATTCCACCTCATAGTACCTACCTTTGGTTAGCATATTGACTTTCATATTCAGGTTGCATTTCAATTCCTCAGTTTTCTCCTGTGATCTAGGGCAGGTAGCAAGCTTTCACCTACTTGCTCACCAAAGATGCCCTGCATTTTTTGCCATGGTCCTCAACCCAAAGACAGGAAGCTGTGAGCCCACATAAACTTTAGGCACAAGGTTGGCATATGGCGCAGAAGCTGAACACCAGCTGCTTTACTCCATGCTTCCGTCGCTGGATGGCAGATGTTTCCCCCTCTAGAATTTCCTTTAAGTTCACTAACTAAACAGGCAGGTAGTTCAGAGGCGTCAGGACAGGTCACCTTGTGATGGTTTGTGGCCACACAAGCAGGAGACTAATAATATTTTAATAGCAGTATTGATACTCTTCAATTTATTAAGAAAAATGTATTTCCTCAGGCATTTTAAAATATATATATATATACATTTAATATTTTTGGAGCTGTATTTGCATTGGATCATAATAGATTATGTGCAATCATAAACATAATGTGCTACCACAGGCTTCGACAAAGAGCTGTTAAAGATAATCACTTTTTTCTTCTTCTCATTAATATTACCTTAGAAAAGAATCCCCATGCTTGTTTTCTAAAATCTACCTTTACTAAAAGAGAACAGTTTAGAACAAAACATCACTATCTTAAAAGTCGATTTTTTTTTAAAAAAGAACATCTCAATATGTCATGTAGAAAGAATGGGCGCTCTCTTGACCTTCTGATCTATAGAGTTAACATGGTAACATTTCAAGCGCCATCCTTTTTTCATAGACTTAGAGTCATGTAGTGTCAATCAATCTACAACCTTTTGAGATGGGCTGGCTCTTTAAGACTTTTCTATCCCAAACAATGATATGAATGTATGGATGAGAGAGAGAGAGAGAGAGAGACAGAGAGAGACAGAGAGAGAGAGAGAGAGAAGGGAGAAAGAGAATGTATGAGCTGGTCCTGGCATAATGTCTGATCCCAAACTCAATTCAGAATAAGGAGAAGTAATTTGAAAGGTTTATAGTTTTTAAATGGCATACTATTCTAGCAGGCACATAGTTTTCATTGTTGGGGCAGTCGTTTCCAAGAGGGTGGATTCCTAAAACATCTTGGAAGTCTTCAAAAACTAGGTTAAGTACCTACATGAGTTTTTGAAAATCACAATTTAAATGATTCAGAAATCTTAATACCAAATAAAAATCACAACCAACAGCTTTTATATTTTGAAAGGTAGAAACAAAGGCTTTCCTAAGTAAAAAATAGGGTATTTAGTGTCACAAATTTTTATTTTTCCAAAAGCCCAACTTCTCCGTCAAAATATGCATAACATGGAAAACAAAAGTGAAAAAAATCAATAATAAAGAAATATGGAGAAAGATCTATCATCTCAAGGCTATCCAAGAATGTTCTACCAAAAGTCAACTGACCATAAATATTCCAAGAAAAGTGATATGCATTTTTTAATGCCAGTCATTACTACTATATCTGTCTGAAAAAAAAATCATATTAAATTAAAAAGCAATGGCATATCTGCCATAAGTGAACAACCTATCTGTGTCTCAACACTGGAGTCATTGCTTTAAGAGTAGTTTTGCCCAAAAAGTCATAATGTAATACTGCCTAAGTAAACCAAGCTCCTGGTACTTTGCTGATTTGAGCAGTCTGTGTAGATGACTGCCAGAGTGCACTTTGATAATAATCTTTTCATTAAGAAAATTAACTGTAGTTTTGTTGTCTGGGAAATTTCCTCTCTTTTTAAGATCTTTAATGGCCACCTCTCAAGTCTGCCTGTATACTGATTTGCATTCATCAAGATTCCTAAGAAAGATAAATTGCATCACATAATTTGAATGCCAATACTCTTCATCCCACCTCTTTATTTCAGTTATGTGAGTATGAGAGCTCCGGAAAGTTGAGATTAGAATACGGCCCTTTCAAAAGAAAACTGAAGCAGAAGACCTGTCCTGATTTTTCTCTCTCTCTTTCTCTCAGGCTCTCTGTCTCTCTCAATCTCTCTTTTTTACATGATAACGAAAATGCAAGAATGGAAATGACAATACAACATCTGAAAGACATTTTTAACTTCATTCACTACAACAGTCAAGAACTGGTTGAACTCTACCTGCCATCCAACTTTAAGAAACAAAGACCTGGCACTGAGAAAAAGAAACAAAACCCAAACAAAACAAAACAATACAAAGCAACTGCGAATTAATGTAAAAATGGAGTGCAAATGCTACTACAGAATGCAATAAAAACATGGGTGCTGCAGAATCCAGCAGCACTTATCAAAATAATCTCTGAAATGTTTCATCTGAAACATAGACAAAGCAATAAAAAGAGGATATATGTTTATCATTTTAAGCATAACAATGTGAGTTAAGAGCTTAAAAATTAAAAAAAAAAAGTACTTGGAATGAATAGTGCTACCCTTTTTTTTCCTAAGTAGGCATAAAAATATTTTCATTTCCTTCTTGTTTCCATACCATTATATCAAGAACTTTCATTTGTTTCATGTTACCGTTTACAACTTTAATGCACACACACACACACAAAAAAGATATCTACTGCAATAGAAATAGTTGCTTCATTACCTTGTTTGCTACATTTGCAAATGTAAACAGCTAGGCAGAGCCAGAACTGACTCTAATGCATGATGGAATATCTTTGTTGCATACGTACACTGTAGAAAATAATTATTCAATATGTCAGGCACCATTATTTGAAATGTAATACATTAATATTTACTAGAAAAATAAGTTTTTTTTTTTCCTATTTGTTCTCCCAACTTCTTTAATGAAATAAGTTAATCTGACAGTGCATCCAGTAGCTTGTAATATCTTCTACATCTCCGTGGCAAAAAATAAACTACTGGTTGGGACAATATAATGCAAATTATTAAAGTCAGTCCTTGTACATACATCCTTGTAGCAAGCATTGAGGCTCGACTAACAGCACCTTTAACCAATTATTTAATGTTCAGTTATTTAGCCCTATTTCCCTGAGCAGTTATGCTGAGGAGCTTTCCCTTCATGGATAGTTTTACAAAGCCTTAAGTATTAAAAGTACTATGAAGACATATTTCTAAGAATCCTATTTAATGCTACTTAAACTAAACCTGTATAAGTCTAATGAAGGGATTGATTGGTACATATACCAACTGTCAGTCTGTGGTAACGTAACCTTAGACGCTGCCTGACCACAAAGTTTGGAAATTATATTTAACCAAAAGAAAATAAATAAATACAGCAGGTTACCTTGTGGAGAAATACCATGTATTCTAAACAAATTAAGCCCATGGTCTGAAGTTTTGCATCCATCTAGCCTTTTGAGCGGAGGGGATCCCTTTCCTTATCATGTGCTAAGTGAGATAAGTGATCAAGAGAGGCTTAAAAAAAATAAATCCAAACTGGTTCATCACATACAAGAAAGAAATATCTGGCTAAAATAAAATGACTACGTAAGCATCGAGGACATCATTTTTAAAAATGCATGTATATTTGGATAAAATGAACCTAAATCGCAAACAAAAGGACTACTTTCGAAAGGAGTATTTGAACATCTAAAGGACAAAATTATCAGAGAGGGTGTGCATGTGTATGTACAGGCAGGGCTGGCCAAAAACATAGTGCCACATCTGTCACTTTTCTTGCTGCTCTCTTACTACGCCTAACCACAGCTCCCATTTCTGGTTCTAAATCTGAGACATGGTCAATGAGAGGAGGCTAAATGTTAGAGGGCGCCATTTTCCTTTTACTGCCCTGGAGATCAGCTTTCTCTTCAGCTGCCTAGGATTTCATGATACTTCTAAATTTAGGCAACAATTTATGGGTTTTGGAACAAATGGGCCAATGGCCAGCCCAATACTGCTTCAGTATCATAAAATGTAAACCCTTCCAAATTCTAGACAGCTTTGATCTCTTTCTTTACAAACAATAATTACAGTATGGTGAAACTTCTTGTGGATGGTTTCCACAGTACACATTTGCCAAGATGGTTTTGACTTACTATGTTCTAAAACATGACTATTTACCATCTTCGATGTTTTTTTCTCACTGACCATTTGTCTCACTTTTAAATCTTGGTAACCTACTCATCGAAAGAAAGAATAATAAAAGAAGGGATTTCACGTTGGATAAGGCAGGCTCTATGAAGTATTTTCTTTTAATAGGTCTTCATAAGACATTACAAGCTATTGAATTCCCATCAAGAAAACCTATTTCTATTTAATTGTGCTAAGTGCTAAGGTTTTTACTCTTTAGGTTTTCCATTTTTTTCTGCTTGTGCATTGTTCCTATGCAGGCCCCTCTGGATATGAGTTGTAAAGTCATATTTGTCCGTGCAAAGATGCTGGCATATGCTGCACTGGAAAGGTCCACTGTCACCATGGCAACTCATATGCAAAGCATACATCACTTCATCCAGAAAGACAATGCCACAGTGCACACATTTTGTTGAAAGTTCATCTTGAGTACTTCTATCAACTTTCTCTGTTTTTATTACATTCAAGGGACCTTCATTTTTTACATTTGATGGTGCCTTCGTTTTCTCCTTGGAGGCACCGTTTGCAGTTGGCCCAGGTCTGGAATGCTTGATCGCCAAATCTAGAGGAATGTCATTGTCTGATCCAACAGCTGAAAAATGAGGAGGCAGATTGAAGGTGGGATAAGGCACATAGTTTTGGCAAGGATTTGGTAGGCCAGGCACATGACTCAAGTAGTGCGGATTCCCAGGAATGGAGAGCTTATATTTACTCCAGAACCGCAGCCAATCAGCTTCACTCTGGAAGTCATTATGTACAAAGGGAAGTCCAAAAAGGGGGTACTGGTACTTTTCAATAGGGCTGCCTGGTGGTGAGTAATTTGGGTGTTTTGCAGGTCTCATGTACTTTTCTATAGGGCTGCCTCTCTCAGAACTTCCTTTCCCTTCAGATATGGATGAACTATTTCCTGGGTCTCCAGTACTTTCCTGAGGACTTTTTATCTGAATGTGCAAAGGTTGCATCCTTTTGTGAATATCCAGAGTTTGGCTGACCAGGACAGGCTGCTGAGCAGAATGGCTTTTAGTCAATGAACCCTGGGCTTCGTATTTACTCAGGCTCGGGAGTGGAATTTCTCTCTGGTGACTTTCAGTTAAGTGATCTTCTGACCTCCTCTCTAAGGGGCTTCCATTGACCTGCTCCTCACCGCCACCCCTTTGCTGTTTGTTGAGCTGCTCAGCCTGAAGTGCCTCTGGGTTAAGGCGCTTTCTTGTTCTTCTCCTAATAATCTGCTCACCGTTGTTTTGTTTAATGATGTTTAAAGGTCTGGGAGTCTGCAGAGAAAACACACACAATACATAAAAGGAAAACACTAAAAAATACATTAAAATGCATTAACAATTCCTCACAAATATAAACCGTGCTTAAGTTCAAAGCCAGGGGTAGGCTTTATGTTATAGATTTACTAAACCTCCTCCTTTTGCCCTAAGCAAGATCAGATGAAGTAACCAAAGCGCACTATTTTAGTCTAATTAAATCATGCTCATCTTTGTAGGGAGGCCTGAAAACTTCAATCTACTTGAAAACAGCTTTTTCAAAACTCAATAATTTTTGGAATTGCAACATTTAGTGATAAAACTGTGTAGAAAGTTGCTTGAAGAAATGGGATTTTTCTGAAGTATTTCTCAACCTGTAAGTCAGGCACACTTAGAAGTCAACAGAGGGACATGGCAGACAGACTTTGAGGACACTGTGGGGAAACTAGACATTGCTGTAGACTGAATCATGCCCCCTCTCCCAAGTTCATAATTTGAAGCTCTAACCTCTAATATCACTATATCTAGAGACAGGGCCTTTACAAAGTTAAAACGAGGTTCAATGAGGACATTAATAAAAAGGCTGCTCTTGCAAGCCAGCAGCAGTTTTCTCTAGAATCTAGGCACTCAGATCTCAGACTTGCAGCATCCAGAACCGTGTGAGAATATATTTCTGTTGTTTGAGTCACTCAATGTATATAGTATTTTGTTATGGCAGCCTGTGCCGTCTGATATTTTTAACATTCTTCTAAGTAATTGCAAGTGTGAATATATAATATTAAATATTAGAGCATAAATAATGAATGCAAAACTGATAGAAGTGTAGGAAATACATTGGGTAATCAAAGCATCTCAATGGGAGTTATTTTTTTTAATTTCTCACTTTTATTTTTCTTCCTTTAATAATATCTGACATCACTATGGGAGATTTTACTTGCTTACAGATAGAACAATTGTTTTGTGTTACAAGTCTAAATTCATTTGTGGCCTTGGCTCAAGTATTCAATCTGTCATTATAATCTATTCTTATTGAATGCTGACTTTTACCCTGCTTAAGTGTTTTATTCAGATTAAGCACTATATGATTAATATTTATGTGTATGTTTAATAGGTGTTTGTATCACATAAGTAAAATCCATAGATAAGTCTATACTAAAAAACCTGCAGTAAGAGCTCTAAGTTTTAGTTATAAAATCAGAAGAATAAGTTTAATGAATGCATACTTACAGATTAAAATTTAAGAGAATCTTAAATGGGCTAAGATCTGAATTTTCTGAAAGATTACTGAAATCTAGAAATAATTTCTACACACCATAGGAGTATATACAATATGTAATTTGTGAATTATTACTAGGAAGGAGGCACCTTAATGCAAGGGAATACTTTTTACATATTAGATAAAATGCAAATATAAATCATTTTTGGAAAGTTTCTATTGTCACAGAGGTAGTTTGAAGCAAAGAAATAACACACTGGTTACTGACAATTCAATTACTGGTTTCAGTATGAACACACCATGCTGTGTGCTTTGGATATGCCTTGTTCCTTTATTTGTTCAGAATCTTCAGGTTTACACAGAGCTCACACTCATATTATAAAAATATGTAGCATTTAATCTCTACCTTATGAAAAACTGAAATTTGCATTAACACCATTTTTAAACTTTCATAATTTTTGTGGTAGTCTTTGAAATGAAATGTGGTATAACCTTTATGTATTTCAGTTTATGATAAAAAAAATGTTTCAAAACTGAAAACATCTTGTCTCCGGGAGATGAATGTTAAAATAATTACTAAAAAAATTTTTTTAGTTTATATCAGTTATCATACCTGGAAAAGCAGTGGTTTAATTAAGTCTTGGCCCATGATTGTCCAGAGTTCAATTAAAATCATTAATGTTAGCTCTTATTAAATGAAAGTTTATTGCCATGTTTAAATGGTGAAAGCAAAAAAAAAAAAAATAAGGTGGTGAGGTAAGGAGGAATCTTCTACTATCTACATACTAATAATAACTAAGGTTTTTACCGTTTGCCACCAATTAGTATTGTTGGCAGCATGCAATTTTTTTTTTTTTTTTTTTTTTAGAGTGCTACCCATGGTCCATTTATGAGGATGTTTTGTCTAAAATTCTATTCCCTGTAGCTGTAATCTATTCATTGGCTTGTGCTAAGAGCTATGGTAAAATGCCAAACAAAATGAAAACGGCAGAGGGAAATAGATTTCTGTTTACTAAATGGGGTATTCCTATTTTTAAAGGCAGCTCTTGTTAGCAGATAAACTTTCTAAACTAAAAAAAGAAAACATCCTTCAGAAAGTTAAATGGATATTCAGATGGGAGATTTGGGAGTGTAAATTCTATTATGGGATCCTGACTAAAATCTGCAAAGAAACTACATGAAGTACCTCAATGGACCAGAGAAAGGAAGTCAGTCAGAGACCTTAAAACACAAAGCACCTATGTGGCTCCCTGGATTCTGATGTCTGCTAGATGGGCCTTCAGATCCTGCTCCTAAATATCCATGGGCAGCCCTGCAGAAATTCAGCTGATGTTCTGGGCTCCTGCTCAGACCCGCTCCTCTGAATGTGCCCTGCCTTGAGCTGCAGGCCCCAAGGCCACCAAGATGATGTGACAAATTCTAAAGGAACACTGGAAACCAGCATTCCCAAGCACTCTTTCCCTGCCCGACATTTTATACTGAACACAGGAGGGTTCTCGAGGGTTCTCTTTAACAGAAAATAAAAGCTTGTTAAGTATTTTTGAACTTGAAGAAGGTGGATCCTTTCTAGCTAAATCAATTTCACCAAATTCTGATAACCATTTGATTATCATTATGTCAAGTTCCCAGACATGAATTATTTTCATCTTTTATACCCAAGGAAATATAATGTATTATTAATGGTCTCAACTGTATCTTTCCCTAACATCTCAGGCCATTTCACCATAAATCACATGTTCACTCCAAGTGCCTGTTTTAAACTCTGCGTGGGCAGACGCTGCCAGCCAGGGGATGGTACTCATCACACCACAGACCAGGCTGGCTTTATAAAGCTTTTCCTGAAACAGTCTAACAAGTTCTTACCGAGTGAAGCTTCTGGTAGAGGCCACACGCATTGCATACATATCCGCCATTTGCATTCTTCCGCCAGAGAGAGGTCTTTGTGGTCAAGCAATTGGCACAAAAAACACCCGAGCCTCTACGCCTCTGAAATGGAAAAAAAAAACACAAGGTCAGAGGTGAGTCACATGATCAGTGGAGTTAAACCAAATCAACCCAGGAGTTTTGTCTTTAGACTAGCAACAATGACAGTATAAAACCACACTGCCCATAATGAGGTCAGGTTCAATTGTGTTTAATAGGCACCACTGATTTTCATTATAATTAACCCTACAGTGATGGATGAGGTGTGTGCAACACCAAAGGCTTTTCACAGAAACAGCTTTAACTTTTTGAACTTTGGGTTTTGTGCCTTTAATGATGGCTCCTAAATGCTGAACCCTAAAATATACCTTTTAAAGGTGTCAAAACAAAAGCCAAAAGACAGAACATGGCAATATGTTTAATATGCTTTGGAAAAGCAACAGCACATGCCACCTGAGCTTTAAATCGGTCAAACTTGGGATAAATGCAGCACGTAAACCATTTTATATTAAACATATAGCATCTTTTTGTATGTCATTCTTGTAAACTAAGGATTAAGCACATATAAGACACTCAATTCTAGACTTTTGTTTGCCATTGTAAAATCTGAAAGAGAACACACTCTTAGTTTGCATAGATGAGAAGACACAAGGCAATAGAAACTTCTGCCAACTAAAAGTACAGTATTACTAACGAGAACCCTTCTGAGGTATCCGCATAAGCCAGACAACAGAGTCCCATCAATGGCTTTTTATTTATTTTATTTTACTCAGACTTGGACATCACAAGTGTGTCTGGATACAAACTGAGTTTACTGGTCTGAATTCTGTAATCACGAGATTCAAAAATAATCTAAGAATATTTAAAAGTAGATGATTAGTATTGCTTGTTCCTTTCTTGCTATCAAATGATTGCATTAAACTTCTCATTGAAACAAAAGTCAGGCTGTGTTTGTAGGCACAAATACTAACAGGCAGGAAATGGAATTCTCTTACTGCAGGGGAAAAAAAAAAAAGCCTGAATTGGGACTCTGCTCGCCTTTCTCTAGGAAAAAAAGTCTTTAATGATAAAATGTGCATGTTAGATAAGGAGTGGAAAAAAGTCTTGGTGGGACCCAATTTTATTATAAATTTAAAATTACAAACACTGTAAGTCAAAATTTCAGGGATTCATAAAATTTAGGCAATTTATTTAACTTGAGTCCATACTGTAGACTACTGGTATCCCTGCCAAGAAAATACAATGGTTATAATTGTACTCTGATACATTTCAAATGGAAAGCTTTCTGCAGACATAATTTTGGCTTCAAGACTGGAACACTTTCTTGGCATTGAAAGGGCATTTGATTCATCGGGTGTTTCACAATGTATCACTAAAAAGACCTGGTGAGCAGCCAGTTCCCTATAGGGTAATTTTTCCATCCAGATGCAAGTGCTATCAGAGGCCCTCGTCAGCTAAACTAATTATGATCTTGCAATCGCTGATGCCTGCTCACTCTAACATTCGACATCCTCCATTAATCATCAATACAAGGAAAATGAATGAAACGTAAAGAAATGAGGGCTGGTAAGCTGCATAGCCATAAAAATCTGAAATGAGAGCAATAATTTAACAAGATTGGGGGAATGTTTTTAGTGAGCACAAAGTCAGGCTAACAATTGCCCTTTTCAACCAAGAACACGATTTCATTAGTGTAGCAGGTTGTGCTACTTTAGGTGATGCAATAAAAGCTAGATTTTTCACCAAGATAATCTCTGGCTCCCCTTTTCAACACGCCCCCCCCCCCGCACCCCCATATCAGGACCAGGAATGGATCGCAAGTTTCTAAATCTCAGTAAGAGTGTCAATTCACCGGTCCCAACTGGGACCGACTGCAAAAGGAGAGATTGCTGTTTCCTGAATAGCAATGAACTATTAGAGGAAGTGTTTATCAAACACTTGGGGAGTGTTTCTCCAAAGTAAGTCGGGGAGCCCAGTCAGGTTGTAATTGTGCAACTTTCCTGGGGTCATGCTGTGTTTTTCCTAGATCTAAATAACATGTGACAAATAAACACAAACTTGATCCAGTTAAAAGGCAATGTAAATGTCCATTTGGATACTAACCCACATATATGGCTGAGACTCAAATCTGAATGTGTAACCATTCACTCCAGCCTGCTTTTTTCCCCTTGTGCCCTGGGTGCTTGACACAGCATGCCAAAGTGGGTGTAATCCTGGTTTCAGAGAGCATTTCAATCCTTGCACAATTTTGTGCTTAATTCTCTTGTAAGGAAAATGCCCTTCATTAGTTAGAGGGAAAATCCTGAAATTACAGCACTGGTTTTCACAGCACTTATGATCCAATAAAAGGTAGGATATTTACATAAACTCTATCTTCTTTTAAACACATCAGGAGTACTTTGGATTCACTCAGAGTCAGTATAGAAAGGAGGTTAATAATCAGATTTAGGAGTCAGATGACCTATATTCAAAACATGTCCTTGCGTTTGCTGGGTGCAATTTTGGACAAGTTACTTAACCTATTGAGGCTTAAATTTCCCCATCTTTAAAGAGTGAGTTGCTCTGAGTATTATGTGGGCTAATGGAAGCAATTAAAACAGTGCCAGGAAGATAGTAAGTGCTCAATAAGATAGCTACTTGTCAAGGGGAGTCAACTGATTTCTTTTGTAATAGAAAAATATTTTGTTCGTATCTCTTTTGTTGACTTATTGAACATTTAAGATATGTTTAAAACATGGTTGGCTATCAAATGCATTTTATTTGTGTCAATCTTATCAAATATGAGAATGGAAAGTTGAGTCAGAGTGAAATATCTAGGTGTTCACACCTAGAATTCAATAGGAGCTAGCTGGCGTGGGGGTGGAGAGTGGGAGGTAGGTGAGAAATACTTCACACATTAAGCTGCCTCCCATCCAAACAAATTTATCACTTTGGTCAGCACTGTGGAACCTTATTTTTGGTGCACTTGCAATTTCTGGAAGCAGTAGAGAAGGTGGGAGCAAATTGGTAATGTCTCTAGCTGGATGAATACCTACATCCATGTCACCTCTCTTGAAACACAACACAGATAAGAGCCTGGCCCTGCCATGTCATGTATAATCCAGGCTGGCTGGACACAGTGAGACATTTCTTTTTTTTTTTTTAAAGATTTATTATTTATGCATACAAGAACTGGGGTACAGGCCATAGGTGCAGGGGGGATGGTGTGAAAGGATTCACCAGAGACAGTGGGGAACAGAACAGGCAGATTGACTGAAATATACTGGTGAGGGGAGCAGCGGGCAAAACAGGAGAGGTCTGCTGCTCCAGGTGTGTCAGCTCTCTGGCTGGGTATCGAACTTGTGCTATAGTGGCTGGGGATAGCTTCATAGTGCTGTGACTTATCCCCTTGTACCACTAGGGAGGCACCACAGGAAGGTATTTCTTCTGAAGTTATCAACACCCTTAGCCCAATCAAGGGCACGGAGGTACTCCATTACCAAAGCAAGGCTGAACAGAAGCAGCCCCTGCCCCACTTTTTAAAAACAAGCATGGCCCTGTCAAAGAAAAGGAAATGCACCAAAGACCTTATTTCTTTCATAGTTTATCATGCATGACAGAGTTTTAAAATATTTTGTCATTCTCTGTTATACTATGATTGCTAACAGAAATCATGGCTCCTGACAGTCATCATTCTAAGTAACATAAGTAATAAGCACCTAGGACAGTGCTCTGTCTTGGGCAACTAAACATTAATAATGTTGAAAATAATCTTGCCTGCCTTTCCTTAATAACTAGCAGTTACTCCTAGTTTAAAAAAAAAGAAAAAAAAAACCCTTTAAATGTCTCCCTTTTAGATTGGCAAATTCATCTCCAGTTGGGCAGAGATACAAGTGATATTGTAGAAAATAAATCAAGAGAAATAATTTCCAATCCTATATTCCACACTTTTTTTTTTTTTTGAGAAACAGCTGAAGTCAGGCACTTGCTACGGACTAAGAATACAAGATCAGGTAGAAGGAACCTCCAAGCCTCTTTCATTGTAGTCAGACAGCACAGGTAGTTTTGTATGTGCTACACAGACATCTCAATAAGATTGCTTTTCCTTTTCCTACAAGGTGTTTCTAAGAGTTAATGATAATTTGTATCTCCTGACCTTGTAGAGGTGAGAAAGGAACTGAGTCACAAGAATAAGGACAATTCTAGGAGAAGAAATAGCAGGAGTAAGAAGCTGAGGGGTCACAGCAATGGCAGAGCAAGGGGCACACTTGGTACCATTCTTGCACCCCTCTCAGACTGACAAAGTCAGTTAGAGTGGTCTCTGACCCTGGCTTCTCAAAGTGCACCATCTACTTCTATGGGTTCTACAGAGTGTGAGAGTCAAGGAAGGTAAGCTGACACCCCAATCGACAAAAAAATAATTTCAACTAAAAATTTCTACAGAGAAAATTCTGGAATCAATAATTTGAGGAACTGATTTTTTTTTTTCACTTCAAGTTTTCATAGTTTGCCTAGTAACCTTTAGGTCACATTTGTGTTGCATCCCTGTTATTTCTGTTGACTGGTACAAGGAAGGTTGGTGAAAAAACAGATCTGACAAGGAACTTGGAAGTCTGGCTGGCAGCTGGCCTTATTACTTATTAATTAAAAGTAATAAGTAATAAGCACCTAGGACAGTGCTTATTGCTTATTACTTACTTATGGCTTATTACTTTCAGGGTGAGAACAGAAACTTCTTTCCATATTTCAAATGTATTATAACCACAGTATTGCTTTTCACTACAACAATTAAGGTGGTGAATTTGGACAGTCATCCAGACCTGGATTTGAAACAGCAAATGACACACCCATCTCTAATGTAGGTATATTTAAAATCCAAGAATGTATTTTTTCCTTCTGTGGAATAGACCAGGAAGTATAGCAACTAAAAAACCCACCTTACGATTATTTTAGGTTCACAGCTAACCCTTTTATGGTATTACTACCATTACTTTTTTTTCTTGCCTTCATCAAAACTTCCGATTCAAGTTTTGCATTTATGTGGCTTCTATTCTCAGTCAGTTGTATATCATTCTGGGTTGAGT